GGATGTGTTGATCTGGAAATAATGTGATATTATTGGTTGATCACAAATCACGAAAACTAACTAAACATCGTGAGTGGGTCGCGTAGGTTTGTCGCGGGTTATTAAAACTTCGGATCAAACTATCAGATAAGAAATTCCTACAACTAAGCCATGTGATAATTCTGGCATAGTCAAATGAATTTCGTAGGTGCAAATAAATAAAGAATACATAATAAAATCAAGTACTGTAAATATATCTTATACATACTGTTAAGTCACTTTACTAAGAAGCCGTTCATATTTACATTTAAAAATGACGTGATATCTGACATGTAAAGACTGCAATGTCTGTCAAAATGGATAGTAATATCGGATCTAAGAAGTGAACGACGGTGATTTAATGTCAAAATTTTGATTTGCAGTTGTTTGAATTTCAAGACATAGTCTCGTGATTTTCTAAACTTCAATAATTGAGAAATTCTTTTATATGCTAAAGATTGATCTGGTTTTATTAAAAGTCTATTGGATTTAACGTGTCCCAAATCTTCTGATAGTAAGTATACCATTTCTTACACTATATGGATAGGATTGTGCAATAAAACGTTAAGAATTAATTTATTTTATTCTTTTAATCGATTAAAAATATCTCGGTAATACCACGATTAATCTCAGGAATTAAGTAGAATTACATGGGTACATTGAATTTGAAACGTAAAATAGCTACATTTTAAAATATCTTAAACTTTATCCAAAATATTTCAGATATCTCAAATTTTTAGAATTTATCATAAAACAAAGGAACTTTTATACTCTTCAACACGTGACTAGTCATTTTTACTCAATTACGGAATTGAGTGAGAGAAATTGATAAGCTTTAAACTAATACGTACAAAGCAATTTAAAGTACGTACGTACTAGAACATTTTTGTTGAGTTTGACACATGAAATATAAGTATTAAGATGTAAAAGTAACTTGATAATAGTTACAAAGAATGAAATAAGAAACGTTTTGTTAAAAACTACATGTTAATATATACTTATTGAAAACTTATCAGTAGCTAGACATGCACAGATAATCAGTCAAGCATGTAATCAACACCATTTAGTTCTTATCAGTGCAAAACAAGAAAAAAATTTATAATATGTGCATATAATAGGTTTGGCTGTGTTTTATAAGTTCAAGCATAACGATAATTCTATTAATTGTATAAAGTGACATTGCTTGTTTGTTTACGATAAAACAATTATTGGGAATATGTTTACTCTCAAAGATATTCCAAATTTGAGTGGGAAGGTAACATGAATCGAAGCTAAACTTGATTTTTAGTTATTAATTAAAGGTTCCTTAGGTTCATAGTCGATTTTTTAATCAAAAAAGGTTGCAATAGTAACTGGTGGAAATTCAGGTATTGGCTATGCAACATCCCGAGAATTAGCTCGTCACGGTGCGCATGTATTCATTGCAAGTCGTAATGAAGAACGTGCTAATTCGGCAATTGAAAGAATTAAAGAAGAAACAAACAATAATAATGTGGAATTTTTACATTTGGATTTGATGAATTTAAGAATTGTTAAACGATCGGCTGAAAATTTTTTGAGCAGGGGTTTACCGTTACATATTCTGTTAGTATATATATACAGTACTGTATAATTGTGTATCGATATCTATAATTTTTTAAGTATGACAATTTAATTCGTTCGTAGTATTAACAATGCTGGAATTATGGCAACGCAAGTACTTTATTTATATCTTTTTAA